ATTTCAAACTATTTGTCGTAAGGCCGTAATATTTCAGTAAGTTCTATAAGACCATGGTATATATCGCTAAAAAAAAAAATCCATAAAAATCGGCTTAAATTTTTTTTTCAACAATTAAATTACAAGAAAACGGCTCGGTAGGATTTTCACCTAAAACTGATCAGTATCATTCCCAACTAATATCTTTCGAACAGTTTTTGTTTTTTTAAAATCGGTTCGGTAGGATGAGCTTAAATGTGGACGAAAAGTTTACCACTTTTTTTCAAATTACAAAGAAACGGCTTGGCAGATCGTCGCACAAAACTGACAAGCGGTAGTCCTCACCGAAATACATCAAATGGCTTTTTAAGTTTCTGAAATCGGTTCAGGCGCTTTTGAGAAAACGTCGATCAAATGTCTAATTTTGACAAATGTCAAAAAAACTACCAATTTTGCAAACTTGACGAATTTTTTTAAGCTAAACGAGTTGTCGTAGGGCCGTAATATTTTAGTATGACCTAGAAAAACTATAGTATCTACCGTCAAAAAAAATCATAAAAATCGTCGAATTTTTTTTTTTAAAAACGTTATACAAGAAAACGGCCCCGGCCGATCTTTACCAAAAACTAATCAGCACGATTCCCAACCAATATCTATCGAATGGTTTTGAATTTTCAGAATCGTTTCAGAATTGCGGGCTAAAACGTGGACGAAAAATTTTCACTTTTCTGCAATTTACAAAGAAACGCCCGGCCCGATCGCCGATCGCCACACAAAACTCAGAAACGATAGTCCTCATCGAGATACATCGAATGGCTTTTAAATTTTTGAAATCGGTCCAGCCGTTTTGGAGAAAAACGTCGATTTACGGGGCAAAAAATCTGTTCACACACACACACACACACACACACACACATATACTTTTTTCCAAATTTGGTCTCATTCGATTCAGAATGGCTTGAAACGTCGAGAAAAACATAAAAATTAGCGAATCGGATTTTTTGATGAAAACAAACTTCTCCTTCGGGAAGTTAATAAATATGCTTTTCATGTCTCCGCATTTCAGTTAAGTTAAATCGTTTATTATAATTTATTAAATATTCTAAATTTTATATAAATAATAAAAAATGTAAATAGTATATTATAAATTTAATTTCGGAAACTCGATTTTGCGCCCCTAAGGCGTACGCCCGCCGCATTTTTGCATGCATCGCATGCAAGCAGGACCGGCCTGCACACACACATCCATTTTTTCTGAGATATGCCAAAATGTTCAAAAACCTTCAAAACGTGAAGAAATGTAAAAATTTTTCATGTTAGATTTTCCCTACAGGAAGTTAATAATAATATACATCTTTATGAAAATATGCAGCATGTTCGGTTCGTGGTCACAATATGTTTGAATTTTTAAACATGCTGGCCTTTTTGAGTCTAGAAGAAAGAAAGTTTAGCGTTATTACCGATCTCCTAACGAAACAATGTAGTTTTGAGAAGCCAAGTTTGAGAGCCTATAATCTAAATAAACATCCTAAAATATCAGAGGTCTACGAAAAGTGGTTTAATTTTGCAAATTCATCAAAGTTGCTAATTGGAATAAATGGGCACAAATTCAAAAGTTGTTAAATCTCAATTTTTGTTGATTAGGTCAATTATTTGTATCGGGAAGTTTATGCAACTTGCAGTGAGGCCGACACTCGCACCTATTTTGTTATCTAAAATAATGAATATATTTAGACAATTTTCAACATAATAATTGTTGTGATTGTACTGTTCTATCTCTAAGTCTCTAATTAATAGACGTTTCCCAAGGGCTCCTGAAGCTTTACAGATGCTATTTTAATACTCCTTTTATTCATGAGACTACGATCGATGTCGAATTGATTTTCTTATTTTATATTATCTATGTTGACATTCCCTAGTTAATCATTTAACATTTTTGACGTAAAAATTCACGTAAATCGAGCGCAGTTTGTCTCAATTCAAATAATATCGTACATTGGTGTGCCATAAAGATTGTTCTTATGATAGAGAATTACTTAAAATAATCATGGCAAAACTTCGATCTTTCAAAGCACTTATAATAGAAATGAAAATAAAATATAAAAATTTTTATAACGACGACAACAACTTAAAAGTGGCCGTTAAAAAACAGAAGTCAAAGTGAAACATTGGTGAAATTTGACTGAATAAAAAAACAAATTTCAGCTAGTCATTGTGAAGTCCGAAGTATGAATAATAGGCACACATCTACTGCATATGTTGCGATATTATCGTCAGTACTAAAATTTTTAAATGAGTACTTTTAAACAGTACTTTCATAGAAGAATTAAACTTTTTTTGTGAGATGTTACGATTATTTTTTAATTAACATTTAATTACATTTACTCTATAATTATTAAGAGATTTTATTGAATTGTAAGTAGAAAAAAGTAGTAAGTTCAAATAAAATTAGCAAAAAATAGTCATCAATTATGTAATTGTTTTTAGTCTTGAAGATGTTATTAAAATGATACTGAAACTTAACAAATTATGTATAATTTATATGCAGATTGACTTTTTGATTAAATAAATTTTTATTTTTTTATTTATTTTTAATTATTTTTAATTTTCTTTATTTAATTTATTTGTTCGTATATTTAAGACCAAATTATCTTGTCATATTGGTACAATTTTCTTTTTTTTAGGAGGAATAAATTGACCTATTTGGATGATTCAGAAACCATTTGATTTACATATATTGTCATATAATGAAGTAGCATTGAAGCATTAAAGAAGTTTTAATTTTAGAGAAAAAATTGAGTTCAGTTATTCGGGAGTTACAAAGGTAAATGTGTGCATAATATTCATTTGTTGAACAAAAATGAATATCAACCATATAATTATTAATCATACAATTCAGTTCAAGTGTTAAATATAATTATATAAGGGTTTATTTATATAATTTACACTTATCACTATTTTATATCAGATTTAAAAAAATCTACACTAACTGATTTTTATAATGTAATTTCTGTAAAATGTAATTTTGTATTCTATTCTATATACAAATAAGTCTAAGATTGAATAAAAATAATATTAAAATTATTTTTAATATTAAAGCATATATTAAGCATATAGTTTGCAACTTCGGTTCAAAAATAAATTTTAGTAAATAATTATTTACCAGTGACCTCGAGTCATTTATGTGACAATATTTTCAAATATATAGACATAGAAGATTTAATACAATATCTAAAAACAACAGGTCGATATTCAATTTTCCATTATTGATCAAGTATAAATTTCAAAGATTTGTTTTTCATTTCAGAAGAATCTGAGTTATAAAGTAATATCTTAAAACTCCTTGAATCCCATGATAAGATGATGGACGAATTCCAAGAGTTTGCCAGTAGGCATAATGCCATGCCCACATAGTTTATTTCACTTCCATTATACAGTTGATATACTGATACCACAATGTTGAGAATAGAATCATACTTTGACAAACCGTTTGCTGAAAACAGATCAATACTTTTGAATGACTTGTGAAATGGTTCAAGATTTTTTATTAACGACGTAAGTTTGTCTTGTTTATGCAAATCATTCGTAGAATAGTGTTTTTTCCGCTCATTTTATTTATCTATTATTTTTAATTATTAATGTAGCTTTATAAAGTTTTACATTTTGACTTTTTTATCTTAATATTAGTCTAATTGTAAGCGAATATATATATATATATATATATATATATATATATCTTGGTTTATTCATAAAAATCTCGATTGAATTTTAACATTATTAAGATTGCAACACTTTTGGGTTGCATGCACGACTTTAAAGATTATTCTATATGGGTTATATATACACCTTGCTTAAACGTGAAATATTTTGAGCACGAGCTACACGAAAAAATAGCGTGGAAGTTTTCGTCGAAATCATTGAAACATTGATTGAATTGATTAGTGTCGAATTTACTCTATTCATACACTCATACTGTAAGCTTACTACAATAAGAAACGACATACCTGATTTTCGCTATTAAGTAATTTAGTTGATCATTAATAAGGCTGTATTTGGCCGATTCCTCTTTACGTAAAGCACGTTCTTTTTAAGTTCAGGTGACCAAAAAGTCTTAATGCTGTGCATACTAGATCCAAGTTTTTGATTAGTAAGTTCGAGTTCTTTTTTAAGGTTACCGAGTTCACGTTGTAAATCACTATTCTGATGTTGTAATTCACCAAGGAAAACGCCACTTTCGCGTCCACCTGATAGCAAGCCATGATTAGGCGACTGCCGAGCGGACCGCGAATTTGCCCCGTATAGTTCCTCTTCTAAATAGAGTCCGCGCTCCAACGAACGATCTCTTGCGGTGGATCGCTCCAGCGAGCGGTCTCGGGGCTCGCGAATGGGCAAAAATTCCCTTTCGTGGTCCGACATGAGACCGCCGCCGCGGTCCAGCGATTGGTAACGTACCGTCATCGGATGAGCTAGCACTGGTCTGCTGGCGCTACGAGATCGGTGATGCGATCCGACGAGACCTCGTCCGCGTTCGTCCAACATACCCGGACTTCCCGGATCGTAGTAGGGCGACCCAGCGCCATGGTGATAGACTCCGTATCCGGCGTGTTCCGGTGAGCTGTTGCCGGAGCGCGTCTGACGCAGCGTCTTTCGGCCCAGGGGGCTGCCGCGGCCCCCCGGGTATCCGCGCGACGGCGACCGGTCCACCGTGGGCAACTCCGCACCTGCCAGACGACGAGATGTCACACCGCGGCCCGGCGACCTGCTAGTTGCACGGCTATGGTTCACGGGCCCGTATGGCTCCCTAGACATGAGCGACGCATGCCTCACTCCACTGCACCTTGCACCTTGCACCTAGCACCTGACACCTGACACCTGACACCGGACACCAGTCACCAGTCACCGGACACCAGACACCAGACACACGTCCCTCTCGGATGCGCTCTCGACGTTCTCGGCCTCGACTAACCTCGACTTGCCTCAACTAACCTCACGGCAGCGCACCACGGACCACGGACCACGGAGCACACTGGAGCACACTGATCAATGAACGGACCTCACTACTCTACTACGCAAGTCTCACTATCGCGAGGCGCGCGCATACCTAAAACACGCCCTGCCATGTACACCGCGCACCCTCCTGCGATGCCATCGAGAAATTCAACTTTATTACGAGATCGTGCGAGGGCAGCTCGGCGGCATAGAGGCACAGCACTACTGTCCCATGACCATATGTCTATTCGCATCCCTTCCGATTTCATCCCTTCTCCCGCTCTGCGACCTCGATGGAAAGGTCATCATCCTACATATTTATAGATCCATCGCTTTTACATTAATCTATATACACCTTCCTACTACTGACACGGCGTTCCGGTCATTAGAGCACCGATACGATACGGACGATCCAACACGACGTGAATTACGCCAGATAAGAAATTACATCGCTCATTCATTCATCCTGGACTGCTCATACTTTTGGATATTTAACATTAGTCTAGCATTTTGGCACATGCACGATATACGTACTACAAGTAAAGTGTATGTACTACTAGTACTTACACGTTACTTGCACTGTTATGTAACTTGAAATTATTCTGTGTGTAATTTAAGCACTTAAGGACAATGATAGCTATATTGATGGCAAATTATAATATATATATTCTAAAATGGCTTTTAGATTTTTGAAATCGATGCAGTCGTTTTTGAGAAAATTTCGACGAAAATACAACCACATACTTTTTCCAAAATTGGTCTCAACTAGTGGTGAATGGCATTGTGCCTTAAGGCAAATTGCAAGTTTTTCTCATGCCAAAGATTAATATTTTGAAATTTTTGAAAAAAAAATATTTTAGGGACAAAATATCGGTGCGCATAAGCGCCGCAGTTTAATAGCTAAATATTGGTACGGAATCCATAGAAATGTAAAAAAAAAAACTAGCTGTAAGTGGAATTCTGTTTTAAGGCAATTAAGGCATCGTGCCTTAAGACAAATTGCTGGAACTTCCCGTATCGTAACGAAATGTTCGAGGAATACTGAATGTTTTCAAATAGATTATTATAAATATTGTAACATTGTCTAATATTTATAAGAATTATCTAAACTGAATTGCAAATTTAAAATTATTTGTTTAAGTTATATTATAACTTTAGCCAGAATAAAAATAAAACCTGAATTAAACTAAAAAAAAATAATAAATAAAAAATAAAGAAAAAAAACGAAATTTTTTTTCCAAAATCAATTATTTTGTTAAGACAAGCAGAAAGTTCTTTGAATCATTTAAATCGGACGCTTAGTTTTCTCAAAAACTGTCATTTTTTACATATTTAGCTCCGTATCTTTGAAATGGCTGGGCCTGCCTTTGCCAAAAACTAATGGACACTTCTCCCAATCATTACTAATTGAATGTTTTTTAGGTCATTCAAATCGGATACTCCGTTCTCTCAAAAAGTCGATTTCTATTTTCTGCACTCTTTTCCCTATAATAGAAATCGAATGTTTTTTGAACCATTCAAATCGGTTGAACACACACACACACACATCCATTTTTTCTGAGGTATGCCAAAACGTTCCTACGGGAAGTTAAATGTATTAAAATCTCTGTGAAATATCTGAAAATTTGATCAGCATATCTCTTACAATTATTTTTGACCGCCAAATAACAATTTTTAAAAACTTTCCTTTGTATCTCCGAAACCGCTGGACCCGCCTTCGCAAAAACTTAATAAAGTTTTCATTCCATCAATACTAGTGAATTGTTTTTTGGATCATTCAAATCGCAGGATCCGTTCTCTCTAAAACTGAATTACCATTTATTTTACCACTTTTTGCCCCGTATCTTCAGAACTAACCAGCACATCAATAGAAATCGAATGTTGCAATGTACGAATGAAAAGCGTTAATATTTTGTTAGTCAAATATAATTTGTAACTCAGTGTGCGCGTTTTTTTCCTAAATTAATGTGATCAAAGAAGCCTGCCGTTCGAATACATGACAATCTCTCATGTGTTCATTTATTTCCATATTGGATTCATGAACTAAAAATTATCCAAAACGGTTTTTCATTCGAGTGAAAATTTTCTTTAATTAACAATCGGATAAGTGAAATTTAATTTCGATTTCGTCAAGTAAATCAACCGTTATCGCTTAATTAAATTAGCGATATTTGGATTTACAAGTAAGTGATTTTTTTATGATATATTTCTTTAATGTATGAAATTTTTTGTAAATCATTTTACTAGTTCAATATCAACATGCAGTATATTAAATAGATCGCTATAATTTTTTAAAAATTGTTTCACATTACAAACATTTTTGAATATTTTATGAAAAATATTTTTTAAATTATATGACTTCCAAATGTCAAACGTTTATACATTTTGTTTTTGGACGATAATTGAAAATGATATAATATTGCAATAAAGTGTCAAACTAATAATACTTTTATAATTTTAATAGAAAATCATTTTTATGTATTCTTTTCAATTCAAAACCATTTGAGTATTTGAATTCTCTATATAAGTTCTAGTTTTGTTTTATTTTAAAACTCAGCCATATGTAATAATCTAAATCTTGTAGTAAAGTGTACGTTGCAATAACATATTTGTTAAATAGATAGTAACTAAAATATTCTATAATTTTCTAAAATTCTAGAGTTTTATTATTTTTATTTAAAATTTAGATATAAGCAATAGTTTATATATATATATATATATATATATATATATATATATATATATATATTTATATAAACTGCTTCTGGATGATTCCGAACCACCCTGATAATGTAGAAATAGCTCTCAAGCGTTTTTAGTTGCTATGAAGGCACATTTTGGAGAAAAATGAATTTTTTTAAGGAAACGATATATATATATATATATATATATATATATATATATATTAGGGTCGGTCGATTCAAAAGTCGCTTTGACACATAATTTTCGGATTCTAGGAGTCAAAATAAGATATTTTGCTGAAGAAACGATACCTCTGAAATAAATTCTGATGTCTCATGCATTGACTCAAAGATAGGTGTTGAATTTTGAAAAATTCCGTTTTGTTGACCCATTTAGAGTGCCCCAATCGCGTCCAAATGTATGGCCGACCCCCACTAACTTTGAAAGGTCGATCCACCCATGTCCATGGTTTACCGTCCGGGCCTCCCCTGAGAGATCCACGATACAAAAATTGCAGCAAAGGTTTCTTCAGCAAAGTATCTTATTTTGAACCCGAGGATCCGAAAATCATGTGTGCATTAGCGACTTTTTTGACCCATGCAAATCGACCCGCTTCTCTCTTTCTCTCTCTCTCTCTCCCTACATATAATATATATTATATATATATATATATATATATATATATATATTAGGGTGGTCCTTAAAAATGTCATTTTCGAATTTTCTTGCTCCCAGGGGCTCAAATGGTTCCAAATTGATAAAAAACAATTGTCTGAAAGTTTTAGCTCTTAATATTAACGTTTAGATAGAGCGCAATTCAATCAAAGTTTGTATTGAAAGAGCATGAAAAAATTTTTGAAAATTAAAAAAAATGTTTTAGGTATAACTTTGCGACAAATGAATGAGTTTTATTCATTAATTTGTTCGCTAAAATACATCTAAAAAGCATTTTTAAAATTTTTGAAAATTTTTTCATGCTATTTCCATACAAAACTTTGATTGAATTGCGCTCTATCTAAACGTTAATATTAAGAGCTAAAACTTTCAGAGAATTGTTTTTTATCTATTTGGAACCATTTGAGCCCCTGGGAGCAAGGAAATTTGAAAATGACCATTTTAAGGACCACCCTAATATATATATATACATATATATATACATATATATATATATATATATATTATATATATATATATATATATATATATATATAGATGTATGATGTATGGATGGATAGATAGATAGATAAACCTAATTTAAATTCATTATTACCATTTACGTCAAATACAATGGACGGTTTATATCACAATGTCATAATATGAATATAATAACATTGATTGAATTGCCATCTATAATTACTGAATTGTCCTCAATTCTCTCCAAGAAAGTATCAAGGGACAGTTTTTCGTTATTTTGCATATCGTAAGGCCATTTCGCATCATATCAACTCATCGGAATACAATGTTATGTTATGTTATATGATTCCAACTACACCTTTATGATTATGTTCATCGCGGCTGAATTAGCTGATTAAAGTCGCGCGAATGTTATGATAAAGTCGATTTGATCGTTGCCAGGCAAATGTTCAGGTAGACGAAGAATGTTTATTTTATTGTTGTGGACAACTTTTATCAATGTCTCAGTTTTGTTCGATTAAAAAGCAATTATAAATGACAATTTGATTTAAAAACAAATATTGTTCTATTAGTGAATTTAATCTAGGTTATTTTGTAAATATTAATATGTTATTATAGTGAATTTCTTGAGTTGTTAATAAATATTATTATTATTATTATTTTATTCATATTATACTAATATGATACAATTGGTTATTATTTTGACGTAAATCTATATATGTATATATATATATATATATATATATATATATATGTATATATATATATATATATATATATATATATATATATACAGTAGAACTCCAATTATCCGAATTAATGTAGACCGGAACCGATTCGGATAATCAAATATTTGGAGTTTTTTTTTTTAAATTGCCATTGGAGAGAAAAAAAGTTACGTTTTGATATTGCACTATTTTTTTATTGAATTAAATGAAAGAAACATGATATTTTCACATGTTTTAAATATAAATAAAATGTACTTATGTACAAGTTTAGAAATTAAAATCATTGTTTTGTAAACATCTCCGTCAAATCAAAACAAACAATGTGCCTACACTGGCTTTGCTGGTGGAAGAATAATAGCGCACTTAGACTTTTTCTGGACAATTTTTTTTCTGAAAGTTATTCGGATAATCGGCGATTCGGATAGTCGGAGTTCGGATAATTGGAGTTCGGATAATTGGAGTTCGGATAATTGGAGTTCGGATGATTGGAGTTCGGATGATTGGAGTTCGGATGATTGGGGTTCTACTGTATATATATATATATATATTATATATATATATATATAATATATAATGAAAGGAAAGAGCATGGAAAAAATTTTGAAAATTTAAAAAAAATGTTTTAGGTATAACTTAGCGATAAATGAATGAGTTTTATTCACTCATTTGTTCGCTAAATTACATTCAAAAAACATTTTTAAAATTATTGAAAATTTTTCCATGCTATTTCCAACAAATCTTTGATTGAATTGCGCTCTATCTAATCGTTAATATTAAGAGCTAAAACTTTCAGAGAATTGTTTTTTATCTATTTGGAACCATTTGAGCCCCTGGGAGCAAGGAAATTCGAAAATAACCATTTTAAGTACCACCCTATCGTATATAAATCGTATATATATCGTATATCGTATATAATATATATATATATATATATATATATATATATATTTTATTATATTATTTCACCATCTGAAGAAAAACCTCTCGCTTTATATATATATATATATATATATATATATATATGTGTGTGTGTGTATAGGGTTCAGTGCACGAGATGTTCGACTAAATTTTACTTAAAATGTTTTGATCTTCTTGAGGAAAATTCGATGGTGTTCGATCTAATCGAATTTGAATTCAATTCGATCTGACACCATTTATTATTTCATTCAGACCCGACAGGTGGCAACACTCTGCTGTTGACGTTTACGATTCACTTGACAGCTTATCACATTTTATCTAACAGTAACACATGTGCTACATTCTGACATGTGAAATTTCCAACAAATTTCACGTTGTGTACAAATAAAAATAAAAAACAAATAATGTAACATATTTTATAAATTGATCTCAATTACCTCTTTTTCTACAGGCTTATTTATTTGCTTTTATCCCGAATCTTCTCAAACATTGGCTGAAATGAGTGTAAGTGCTAAGAATAAAATTCTCATTCAAATTTATTATTTCTGATTTCGAGTATTCCAATTTCTTTTTGTTCCAGGATTTAGATATTCCAATTGACATTCATTCTTCAAAGCTTCTAGACTGGTTATTAAGTCGCAAGCATGTTAAGCCAGATTGGACTATTAACTTGGGTGCTATTCAAACCAAAATTAATGCTGCCGTGAGTGACATTCCTAGAAATACGGATATAGCATGCTTATTGTCAGGAGCTTGTAAGTAATATACTTACACACACACACACACAATATATATATATATATATATATATATATATAATAAAATGTAAATATCAATACACTACACTCAGTTTTTGTACAAAATTTATTTCATAATATTACATATGTTTCAAGACCATATATGTCTCATTTTCAGTGTAAATTCTTAATAATAATATCGTAAAAAAATTTTATTAATAAATTTTCTTATCTTGAAAATACCTTGAATAAATTTTAAAGACTCTTCAGAGTACATTATTCGAATTACTTTTTCTCCTTTAAAACTGTTAAAATTTTTACATTTTATCAGACAAAACATTGTTAACAAAAAAGAAAGAGGTTGTCAAAAAGAAAGGGACTTATTTAAACATAGTATAACAGAATCAATGTTAAATGTTTGTACTAACAACAAATTAACTGTGGTAAATCTGGTAACTGACACAATTATTTTACATGACTCTTATATAAACTTTATTAACAATTTATAACATTTTTTGATTCTTATTTTGTTGCTTATTTTTATTTCTTTAGTTAATGTCTTTTCACATTTGTTGATATTGGTAGATATGGATTTGTTGATATTGGTATGTACAGCGTTCGCCTCATTTGTTTACATTATAAAAATATTTATGTCCCTTTAGCTCTCGGTACTTACAATTTTGTTTTTTTTTTAAATTCCCACACATTTTACATATTCAGTATAGTGTCAAGCCTTGTAACTAAGTTTATTGTTAATCCATATTCAAATATAACTCATAATTGTGTTATAATATGCTGTATATATACTTTTTACTGCAAGAATTTACACTGAATATTAGACATATCATGGTCTCGAAAAGTCTGTAATCTTATGAAAATAAGTTAGTGTAAAAAACTTAATATAGTGTTTATATTTACACCTTTATATTTGTTACACTCATAATACAAAGTTCTGCATATATATATATATATATATATATATATATATATATATAATATATTGCGCACTATCTAAAAGTTAATATTAAGAGCTAGAGAATTTTTTGTATCAATTTGGAAGCATTTAAGCTCCTGGTAGCAATAAAATTTCAAAATGTCCATATTAAGGACCACCTTAATATATATATATATATATATATATATATATATATATATATATATTAGGGCGGGTCGATTTAAAAGTCGCTTAGGCACATATAATTTTCGGATACTAGGGATCAAAATAAGATACTTTGCTGAAGAAACCATACCTCTAAAATTAATTCTGATATCCCCGCGCATTGACCCAAAGATAGGGATTGAATTTTGAAAAATCCCGTTTTAATCCATTTAGAGTGCTTCAATCGCGTCCAAATGTATAACAACCCAACTAACTTTGGAAGGCCGATTCACCCATGCCTATGGTTCACCCCCTGGGACCTCTCTTTAGAGTCTCGCATACAAATATTGCAAAAATCATCGTTTTTTTTTTAAACATTTTAAAAATATTAATTCGTACACACACAAAAAACTTTTTTACAAAAGAAATTTATTAAAATTTTTCGTTGTTTAAATTTTTCCAAAGCATTTTGTTTCTGCGCTCGCTAGAGGCTGTCACGGCGACGATATTAGAGAGCCGTGCAAAATTTTCCAGACTTGAAACTAAAAAAGACTTCAAACAATAGTTTATGAGTTTTACATAGTTTTTTTACATATCTTATGATTAAATAAATTTTATAATAAAAATAAATCGCAGATTTTTGTCATGTTGAAGTTCCCAAAATTATGCAACTTTTGTATTGGGGACCTCTAAAGGGAGGTCCTAGGGGGTGAACCATGGGCATGGGTAGATTGGCCTTCCAAAGTTACTGGGGGTCGATCATACATTTACACATTATTGAGGCGCTCTAAATGAGCCAAGACAGGATTTTTTTAAATTTGACTCAATCTTTGGGTGAATGCACGGGACATCAGAATTCATTTTAGAGATATGGTTTTTTCGGCAAAGTATCTTATTTTGATCCTAGTACACGAAAATCATATGTGCCTATGTGACTTTTTTTATCCATACAAATCGACCCGCCCTAATATATATATATATATATATATATATATATATATATATATATATATATTATATACATCGAAAGATTTTAAACATTTTCGAACGCGAGTCGCGCTTTTTACGTCAGGTATCTCAAAGGCTTGTATCCATTTATCACTTACGAATGACAATATTATTGTTTTTTGGTTGAAAAATATTGTATAACTCTTCTATTGTATAACCTTTGTTTGTGGCAAAAAATAAATATATAGTCAAAATAATATATAGAGGAAGAGCAGCGGGGCTTAAAACTTTGCGAGTAAAAGGTCTATATATATATATATATATATATATATATATATATATATATATATATATAATAAGCTGTAATACTAAATAAAACAACACTAATACTTCATGGTATAAGGATTTTCACTTTATTTATTGTGTTAACATTACAAAAACAACAACGATACTATTACTAAACACAAACAGCACAACACACTTAATCACTTATTAAAATATTACGAATATGTATTAACTATTAACGCATTCACGTTATACTGTTGCAATGCTATATTATTTATATCTGTTTTCAGATATTCATTACTTTCATTGTAAGGATATCGCAAATGTACTAGCTGGTACTGAAGATGGAGCCAGGAATGTTTTTGGAGGGTATAGCTCAAAAAGAATGAATGACTGGATGGAAATCATAAAGATGTATGAGAGAAATAACGTTTTTATTGCCGAATGCGCTAGGTTGCTAAGCACCAGCGTTTATTTTGATGTACCCGCATTACGAAAGAAGATACAGAAGCTTGAACAAATGCAACAAGTATATATAATTTCAATATACAATACAATTTCAGTGTACTAGTGCAGGCTTACAAAAGTTTTTTTTACCACATATTTTCTTTAAAATATTATCTGAAAAAAATACAGAAGCTGTAAATATAGATAATGATCTAGGAATCATTAGAAAATATGGTAAAATACAATAAGTTGATGTCTATGAATGAATTGAAAAAATTGTCCTTTCAGTAAGCCAAATTCAATATTTTTTTATTTTTGATAATTGATATGTTATTAACTTCCCGAAGGAGAAGTTTATGTTTTCATAAAAAAATCCGATTCGCTAATTTTGTTTTTTTGACGTTTCAAGCCATTCTGAATCGAATGAGACCAAGTTTGGAAAAAGTATGTGTATGTGTGTATGTGTGTGTGTGTATGTATGTATGTGAACAGATTTTTTGCCGTAAATCGACGTTTTCTCGAAAACGGCTGGGCCGATTTCAAAAATTTAAAAGCCATTCGATGTATCTCGACGAGGACTATCTATCTATCTATCTATCAGTTTTGTGGGACGATCGGCCGAGACGTTTCTTTATAAATAGCAGAAAAGTGAAAAAAAAATTGTCTACGTTTTAGCCCGCAATTCTGAACCGATTAAGTAAATTCAAAAACCGTTCGAAAGATATTGATTGGGAATCGTGCTGATTAGTTTTTGGTAAAGATCGGCCGGGCCGTTTTCTTGTAATAAAGTGTTAAAAAAAATTTTTTCGACGATTTTTGTTATTATTTTTTTGACGGTAGATGCTATAGTCTTCTAGATCATACTAAAATATTACGGCCCTACGACAATTGGTTTAACTTTGAAAATTCATCAAAGTTTGCAAAAGTTGGTATCGTTTTTTAGGCATTTGTCAAAATTAGATCTTTCATCGACGTTTTCTCAAAAACGCCTGAACCGATTTCAGAAATTTAAAAACCATTTGATGTATTTCGATGAGGACTATCGTTTGTCAGTTTTGTGCGATGAGCGCCCGAGCCGTTTCTTTGAAATTTGGAAAAAAGTCTTAAACTTTCTGTCCACATTTAAGCTCATCCTACCGAACCGAATTTAAAAAATCAAAAACTGTTCGAAAGATATTAGTTGGGAATGGTACTGATTAGTTTTAGGTGAAAATCTACCGAGCCGTTTTCTTGTAATTAACTGTTGAAAAAAAAATTTAAGCCGATTTTTATTGAATTTTTTTTAGCGATATATATCATGGTCTTATAGAACTTACTGTAATATTACGGCCTTACAACAAGTAGTTTAATTTTAAAAAATCATCAAAGTTTGAGAAAATGAGTAGTTTTTTTGATGTTTGTTAAAATTAAAATTAGACGATTCACTCACTTGGTATAACGATAGAGTACTTGGTCTTAATGAACATACTAAATTATTGAATTCCTACAAAAACTGGTTCAATTATAAAAATTATTGATTTTTGAAAATTTGTTTTTATAAAATACTCCGAGTTAACGTGTTTGTTCGTTTTCAATTATGTGTAATAAATACACTCAGAATACTTTTAATCACTCATAAATTAATTTATATTTCATTAATTAAGTCAATTATTTACACATATCGGGAAGTTCATGTAACTTGCCTCAAGGCTAAATACCAAACCAACTAGTTTGGGATTGCCATACTACTTTTGCTTAATTATTTCATAGACATAACTTTCTTTCTTTACATAATTTAGTATGGTTACTACTATTTACTTAATTACTTTAAAGAAACAACTTCCTTTGTTTATATAATTTATTGTTATCAATATCCAATTTTTTATAGGATGTTGAGAAACGTGAATCTGAACTCCTAAAGACTCACTCAGTGCTTGAAGCAGATTTCAAAGCAGAATGTGACGTGTTGGGAATAAAAGGAAAAAATATAAGAGAAGAATTACTAGCCATTGTGCCTGAACTAATGAATATTTATTCAGGGGTGAGTAGTTTAATATTTTTAATTATGTTAAAATGTATTCAGTTCAAATGTATTTTTCAAACCAATTTTTGTATTTTATTATCATTATTAATTTTTGTACTTGAAGACACACTCCTACCACAAACCTCTTTTTTGTAATAATCATTTTAGTAATCGAATAATTTTTCGTCTAACTTTCAGTTAATAAATATTCTCCACTGAATTTTGATTAAGATTTTCTTAAACTTATGGAAAAGCTTAAATTTAACTTAAAAAAAACTTAATTGTAATTAAGAGTTCATTCATAACATTTTTTATAAGTTTGGGACCAATAATTGTTATTAACTTCCTGTAGGGTAAGTTATTGTAATCGTCCAAAAGTTGAAATTGAAAATTTTCACATTTCTTCACGTTTTGAAGGTTTCTGAACATTTTGGCATACCTCAGAAAAAAATGTGTGTGTATGAATGTATGTATGGATATAATATTTCGTCAACGTTTTCGAGCGTACGAATCAACCGATTTGAATGGTTTAAAAAACATTCGATTCCTATTGATAGGGCGATGTGCAGATTAGTAATGCATTTATAATTCAAAAATACATACAGCCCTAAATCTTCACCCTCTTACCTTAAAGCTTTATTTCATAATAGTCATTTTAGCATTCCAATCATTTTTTATATAACTCGATAATTGATCAATTAATGTCTTTTTTGTGAATGTTTTCCATTGCATTTTTAACAAAAATTTTTATTATCATTTGTTTCTTGCATAATCACTGATTCGCAGAATTATTTCTTTGTATGTACAAATATTTCTTGACATGCATAGACAGTACATAGTTCATATGAATAGTTTGCAGAAAAAGCAATTTTAACAAAAACAATTTGAGATTGAATATTAAAATCTGAAGGTACAACAGTTTTTGGGAGAAAACTAGTTACCATTAATATATTGACGTTACATGTGTCAAGTGTTTCAGCGGGTAAACCATCAATTTAATTTGTGCTAGCTGCCCCCTTCACATATTCTACATTTTACATTCATAATCTGTTTGTTATTTTTTACACTAATACTTTTCTAGAAATATTTTTTATGGCTAAACAAGTTCAAAGGCAAATAACTCCATATTTGATGCTATCCGTTTTATTGTATTTAGTGCAAATAAAATTAAACTACAAAAATGTTAAATTTAATTTTATTTATTTACTTTACAGGTTGTGGAAGCTTTACATTCCATAGAACCTGCAGTTGAAGTGTATAAAAGATTCAAAAATAAAAGAAATGTAAAGGTAGGACTAGACGTTGTTAGACATATTCTTGAATTTGGTAACACGACCGTTTATCAATTCATACACTGCAAGGAACCGAAGCGTGTTGTAAGTATATAACATCTTATCCAAACTTGGAAAACAAAAGTATGTGTCCGTGTATGTGTACCGATTTTTAATCTTTTGACGTCTTATTTTCAAAAACGGCTGCGTATTAGAAGCCATTTCGTGTAACCTTCTTTGTACCATTCCATTTCTTTGTACTTGCTGAAAAGTGCAAAATTATTCATCCATGTTTTCATAAAAAATTCTGGACCGATTTTGAAAATGTAAATTCGACAACTATCATTTGGAAATTATGGTGATTAGTTCTTTTTTTTGGCAAAGATTGGTCGGTAAATTGACGATTTTGATGAAACCTTGTATGGCATTAGATTCTCTGGTTTTAATGAATATGAGAATATTAGAGGCCTATGGAAAGTTGTTTAATTATGAAAATTATAGGATTAAGTGGTCGCGCTTTTAAGGTGCGTCCACACCTAGCGAACGAGCACGAACGAACATGGATTTTGACATGCGCGTGGGTCGCTTTTGTTATTTTTAATCTGCGCATATTAAGGTGCGCCACACCTAACGAACGAACATAAAAGAACGTACCAGAACGAACGGCAACAGCATAGTGTGGACGCCACAACGATCACGAACGAACATAAACAAACATGACGAGCAATGTTCCGCAACTTGTCGGTACATCAAAGGGAATTTTTAGTTCAAGTTTGAACTCGTATGTGAAGTGTGGACGCTACCACGAATGTAGACAAACATTTTTCTTTTTTGATGTTAAAATGTGCAGTCATTCATTAATTTATGTTGTGTTTATTATAAGATATTGCTGTTATTGACAAATTTTGTAAATTTGATGACTTTAAATAATTTTGCTCTTTTCCGCCACTTTAAATAATAAATCTGACGTTTCACGGTACATCCTCGAACAAAAAGATTCAAGCCTTCACTGCTTTGAGGCGTTTGTTTGGAATTTTTCGCGTTCGTTCGTGTTCCTGTTCGTTCATCTTTGTATTTTCTTGTTCGACATGTTCGT